CATCCTTTTCCAAAGGGAAAGGAGCAAGTACTAACAACAGAGCCCAGGGAAAGCAGCCTGGGATTCTTTTGCATGAGCAGTACCTGTGCTGCCAGGAGCAGCTCTAGGAGATCACTGTTGCTCACTTTTATGTTTATACTACTCTATCCAAAGCTAGCTGGCAACCAAGTTCACACCTTAATACGGTCCTTTCACTTACAGACATCTCAGCTTTGTAGAACTTCACAGAACTAAGTTTGGTTGTGCCAGACACATGCTATTTTCCCTAGATTAGTGGGCAATGTCTTGACTTCCAATAGCATAGGTATTCTCAGTCCTATCAGTTAGCTAAACATTTGACATCTTCCCTCAAAACCTGACCCTTCAGCATCCAGGTAGCCACTTAAGATTTTTGTTGCTTCCTGACAGACTTCTGGTGGCAACCATAAAATAATATTGTAGATGCATAACAGTTCAGTGAATCTTACTCCAAACCCCATATGCTTACATCATTAAAAAGGAAAGACTATGGGAGGGTTTGTAGGACAAGTTTTTCAGCCTTTCAAGTCAAGGTTTAGAAATATTCCCCTTAAGCAAATATTCTCTTTGAATTTCCCCTTTAGTTTGAGATGGAAGGAAGTGTTTGACTTGAAGAAAAAAAATCAATTCCATAAATCCCTTGTCACTTACACTGTAAAATCTGTTTACATGCAAATCTTTGCAGCAACAGCAGTCATTGTTTTGAGAGACTACTCTCTTTTTCAGCAATCAGTAACATTTAAGTCCTGTCAGTTAGGAAGATGACCTGGCAAATTACATTCATATGCAGAATCACCTCGTCTAATCAAATCCTTATTCGACAGAGTGCATGAAAACAGCAGGGGTGTGAAAAAGAGGCAGATAAATAATGAAACAGCTTGGACTGCGAGCAGAGTACATAATAGTCAGCATGCCAACCACCTCCTTGTTCACAGAAAGGAAGAGGAAAGACCCCATCAACGAGAGCAGATTATAACCACAAGTTACAGCTGCTGATGGAACAAGCCCTCCCTTTCCACAGCCCAGAATTTACCTCCTGCTATTTTAAGGAAGTCTTCACCTGTTGCCTTGTACACCTAATGCAAAAGAAAAGAGCACGTGATTGACACACTACTTGCGCTCCTGTCAAGGAAAGGATTTCAAAGTCAGTATTACACACCTCAATGTATCGATTCCCCATGTGATGCTTGTGTCTTTGCAGCGCTAGGTCTCTATGTTCTTCATTTACAAACCTCACGAGAGCCTCCCCATTCCTCCTGCCTTGGGCATTGAGACAGAGCGCAGCACCTCCCCTGGAAGAGGGAAGCCAAGCAAGAATAAGGCTCTGATTGAAGCAGACAAACACTGCAGAGGCAGGGATAAGCCCTTAGCCACTAACTTGGCAATATTTAGGCCTTTGAAGAATCTCGCTATGTCCTGGTCAGATGACTGCCAGGGCAATCCTCTTGCTCGTATCACAGCATTATTGTCCACGAGTTCCATCTTGCTGCTGCAGACACAGAAAGAGAGAGGAAATAATGCAGGGAAAAGTCTTCAGTGTCTGCCTCAAGAGCACTGCTGTCACCTCTACTCCAGCCACACTTCCATCCATGCTCCAGGGCTGCTGGGCAAGGCTGGAAGGCCAAGAGCTAGCACGAGCCTCAATCACTCAAGTATCTCCTATCTGTTTCACCTACACCCTTCAAGCAACTACCTTCTTAAGCCACCTCCCTCCCAATGAGCCCTTCCTGCTTCATCACATTTGCTCCTTGAGCTCACATCTTCTTGAGCATACTTCCAAATTACTCTCCATTCCCAACAAATACCAATATTTTGGGCTTCTCTGCAGTCTAAACAGAGATAGTTGATTAACACTACACACCTGCTCTTATTATTTTAGACAAATGGGATTCAAAGCAGAGCAGTTAGTTGTGGTCATATCTGAAGCCTGGTTTTCTTATTTCTACCGTCTTTTTATACTGTGTTACAGTCAAAAGCACCCAGCACAGAAGACTCCTGCCTAAAGAGCTGTGCCTTAATTTCTTATTTAGGCCATCTCTGTGCTACTAGAGACGATTATAGCTACAGGCTACACTGCTGCTTAGCAGGGGAATAGCTCAGCCACAGAAAGCCCATTTTAATTGGTCATTACCTTAGTCTTTGTTCTCTTACAGTAAGAGTCCCTCTCTTGCTGTTAAAAAGAGTGTAGAACAAAACACTCAGGGCTACCAAGGCTGCTGGTCTGACTACTGTAAGAACAGGGTGTTGCACAGAAGAGACTTCAGTTTGATTAAGCAGTTGAAGTGCTGTGCATCAGCAGTGAGAGAGGCCTCTTACTCTACATTTCATGTTAAAATACAGACCTGAGGCTGAGGAGGAGAAAATAAGACTGTTATCTTTCTTAGTGACATGCCTGTACAGAAGCAGTTCAAGCAAAATAGCAACTTACACTTTTCACTGTCACAAGTGAGATGGGAACGTTCTACCTCAGCCCAGGATTTCATCAGAGAAAGGGAAAAGCTTAGAACATTACTAGAGCAGTCTCCTGAACATCCTGGTATTTTCCTGCCAATATTGTTGGTTTCTTTTCTTTCCACTTCTCAGAAGTGCCAGTATCATCATAATGAACCATAGTTCATTAATCTGAAGAAGGAAGTATTTATGCAAGACAGGAATCTAAGTAAGATCAGTTTAAACACTAGTCATTTGTGGTACTGCAGAGGAAATATCTAACAATACCACTGAGAAAAATCTGTTTGAAGATGGAAGAGCATGATTATATTTTAAAAACAGCTATTGAGTATATAGAGCTTTATATATTCTTTACTTAAAAGATGTTTGAGAAGAATACAATCATCATAGTTTATGCAACTTACTGGTAGGACTCTAGTTTAGCACAGTAGCTTTAGGGAAAATATTTTTCCTCTTTAAAATAATAGTTCCTGAATATATCTTAGGCTACACTTCTGCAATTTGTTTCAAAGTTAATACCAATAGGGCTACTGCTGCAAAACACTTCAGTTCCAACAGTGCAGCATGCCTAGCACTCACGATAAACACTTACGAGCCCACCAAGAACTACCAGCAGTAAACAAGCATCTAAACCTAGCTAGGAAACTGTCTTACAACCAATGCAACTTCCCATTCCCTTTTCCAATTACAGTACCCAATTTATGCCCACAACAGTGTTAAGATAAAGAAAGCTTGCACATTAGGAGTGCAGAAGACTATACCTTAGCTAAGCAATGTCTTAAAGGTGGCAGGAGGATACTTACCAAGGCCCACTTTCAAATTTGTAATTCACTCTTTCTGGATCTGAAAACCTGTGATCTATGAAACAGTACAAGTTATTTTTTCCTCCCAGCATACAAGATAGAATAAATAAGCAAATACAGCAAATTAGTCCATCACAATCACTTACTGTATGGTTCAGATATTAGCGTTGAAATAATATTCCCCATATCTTCAATGTGAGAGGCTCCGTATGGAAGCGCTGGGCTGCTCTTGTCAAGATTTAAGTCTTTATGCAGGAGTTAAGTCAATCATCACTGAATAGATTTGTAATTGGCTTCTTGCTAGAGAGCCCCAAGCTTTCCCGTGACCCAGATGGCAAGTCAGCTTCCGGGTTAGCAGTTAGCCCGGGTTAGC